GTAAAATAGCTCTTACACAGCCTGGAGGTGTGTTGGGTCATTGTCCTGTTGAAAAACAAATGACAGTCCCACTAAGCCCAAACCAGATGGGATGGCGTCTCGCTGCAGAATGCTGTGGTAGACATGATGGTTAAGTGTGCCTTGAATTCTAAATAAATCACAGACAGTGTCACCAGCAAAGCACCCCCATAACATAACACGTCCTCCTCCATGCTTTACGGTGAGAACTACAAATGCGGAGATCATCCGTTCACCCACACAACGTCTCACAAAGACACAGCGGTTTGAACCACAAATCTCCAATTTGGACTCTAGACCAAAGCACAAATTTCCACCGGTATAATGTCCATATTGCTCATATTTATTGGGCCAAGCAGGTGTCTTCTTCTTATTGGTGTCCTTTAGTAGTGGTTTCTTTGCAGCAATTCGACCATGAAGGCCTGATTCACACAGTCCCCTCTGAACAGTTGATGTTGAGATGTGTCTGTTACTTGAACTCTGTGAAGCATTTATTTAGTCTGCAATGTCTGAGGCTGGTAACTTCAATGAACTTATCCTCTGCAGCAGAGGTAACTCTGGGTCTTCCATTCTTGTGGCGGTCCTCATGAGAGCCAGTTTTATCATAGCACTTGATGGTTTATGCGACTGCACTTGAAGAAACTTTCAAAGTTCTTGAAATGTTCCGTATTGATCTTCATGTCTTAAAGTAAGGATGGACTGTCATTTCTCTTTGCTTTTTTGAGCTGTTCTTGCCATAATATGGACTTGGTATTTTGCCAAATAGGGCTATCTTCTGTATACCCCCCTACCTTATTACAACACAACTGATTGGCTCAAATGCAATAAGACCGAAATAAATTCCACAAATTAACTTTTAACAAGGCACACCTGTTAATTGAAATACATTCCAGGTGACTACCTCATGAAGCTGGTTGATAGAATGCCAAGAGTGTGCAAAGCTGTCATCAAGGCAAAGGGTGGCTATTTGAAGAATCTCAAATATAAAATATATTTTTATTGGTTACTACATGATTACATATGTGCTATTTCATAGTTTTGATGTCTTCACTATTATTCTACAATGTAGAAAATAGTAAATATTAAGAAAAACCCTTGAATGAGTAGGTGTGTCCAAACTTTTGACTGGTAGTGTATATATACAGTGGCTTGCAAAAGTATTCACCCCCTTTGCCATTTTTCCTATTTTGTTGCCTTACAACCTGGAATTAAAATGGATTTTGACTTCTGAAGGTAATTGGTTGCACCAGATCTTATTTAAGGGCTTCATAGCAAAGGGGGTGAATACATATGCATGCACCACTTTTCCGTTATTAATTTTTTTGAATTTTTTGAAACAAGTTCTTTTTTTCATTTCACTTCACCAATTTGGACTATTTTGTGTATGTCCATTACATTAAATCCAAATAAAAATCAATTGAAATTACAGGTTGTAATGCAACAAAATAGAAAAAACGCCAAGGGGGATGAATACTTTTGCAAAGCACTGTATATATATATATATATATATATATATATATATATATATATATATATATATATATATATATATATATATATATATATATATGTGTGTAATTTGGCTGTATGTATTTTTAGATATAGGCCTATTGTAAATGTGTATTATTGTAGCATCGCCATCTTTATTGCAAAAATAAATACAAGTACAAACATAACTTTAAGCGACATATTATTTTTACAGAGGTAATGAACTGTTCATTGATCAGCACAGCAATTGAGAAAACAGGACCATGTTTGAAACACAAGTGGTTCTGACCTTAATTCAACATTCCACAGGTAAGCTATCAGCTACAGAAATCAGGAATGCAGACAGGCTCTATCTATCTGAGCTACTGTGTCCAACACACCCACTTCACCTGTTGTTATGTTGGTCACCTACAGTACTTACCCAAAAACTGATGTTATTATGATTTTTCTTTTTTAAATGACATGTTTTGCTAAAATACAGGTTTAAGGAAATACAGGCATGCACCACATTACTACAAGACAAAACAGCTCAATCAAGCCTGATGGTCTTGTAAGTATAAAAGCAAAGTTTGCATTCATTTAATAAAAAAAAAAGCATGAAAAGTTAATGTCTTAATGGGATAATATCTTACCGTGGTATGTGAAGAATCCAATGCTTTACCTTATATGCGGTACAAATCACATTATTGTGGAAACCTCCTATAAGAGTACGAATTAGGCTGTTTGAGAAGGATTGAATCCTAAGCACTTAAAAAAGAAAAGGAGAGCCTCTCACTCTAGGAGCCCAGATGCAATAATTGAATAACCTAATAACCAACGTTTCGACAGACAAGCTGTCCTCATCAGGGTGTAATGAATCCTAAGCAACCTGCCTACACATAGTTTGAAGTACAAGACCAACATAGCGACTGTAGTAGATTAAAGCTGTGGGCTGGAAAACCTTGGTAGAGCACGGGTGGAATAGGCATTGTGGCGCTCATGTGAATTTCCTTTCTTCTCCGATTTCAGACCAATGCCTATTCTCACTTAAAACATAGTTTTTTTTTACGATTATGAAAGACTACTAGAAAATGTTAATTTCAAAATGTACTTGTAATACAGTATAAACCATTGCAAATAACAAAATATACATTAACTATTGATTACGCTACAAAATGTATTGACATTCAGAAATGTTATACAATTCTCTGACGATTACAATTACACTACAAGTATAAATTACTGATTTGGACATTACTTTAACAAAACTAGCTGTCTCTTTGTCAGTGTTTCTCTGAAAGGAAAGATGCCTTACGGATGATGAAGGAGTCATAATGACTACTATTATGCCAATGTATGTAAGGCACAATCATCGGCTACCAACTGCTACCAAGTAAATGTGTGTGTGTGTGTGTGCGTGTGTGTGTGCGTGTGCGTGTGTGTGTGTGTGTGTGTGTGTGTGTGTGTGTGTGTGTGTGTGTGTGTGTGTGTGTGTGTGTGAGCAGCGGGAGACGTGGGGACTACCTGGTGCCATGGTAACAAAACATTTATCCATAATGGTGTTAGATGGCAGGGACATCGCCAGCAGGCAAATTAGTCTTAATGGCAGTGAATGCAGTGTGGAGGATAGCAGTGTTTCTGTGTACATGCTGGTTTGCATGCGTGTGTGTGTGTGTGTGTGTGTGTGTGTGTGTGTGTGTGTGTGTGTGTGTGTGTGTGTGTGTGTGTGTGTGTGTGTGTGTGTGTGTGTGTGCATGTGCGTGTGTGTGTGTGTGTGTGGTGTCTCTTGAGTATGAAAAATGTATGCACTCACTAACTGTAAGTCGCTCTGGATAAGAGCGTCTGCTAAATGACTAAAATGTAAAAATGTAAATGGTGTGTGTGTGTGTGTGTGTGTGTGTGTGTGTGTGTGGTGTGTGTGTGTGTGTGTGTGCGTGTGTGTGGGTGTGTGTGTGTGTGACTGATTCACCCATGTATTGAGAGGAGATGGAGGCAGAAAGGAAATGGGGAACAGATGCATTTTGATCAACAACGATGGAACAGTGACCTCCCTAGCATCAGTGGGAGTGTGTACATGCATATGAGTATGAATAAGTGGTCATACGCGTATGTTGTTGATGAGCTAGTGGGCCCAGTGTAACAGTAGTGATTGGGTCAGTAAAGGCCCAGTGTTACTGTAGTGATTGGGTCAGTAAAGGCCCAGTGTTACTGTAGTGATTGGGTCAGTAAAGGCCCAGTGTTACTGTAGTGATTGGGTCAGTAAAGGCCCAGTGTTACTGTAGTGACTGGGTCAGTAAAGGCCCAGTGTTACTGTAGTGATTGGGTCAGTAAAGGCCCAGTGTTACAATAGTGGTTGCTGGCTCCAGCCAAGCACTAAAGGATGACATCACCAGCTCCAGGGAGTGTGCATGGGTGCGTGTGTGTGTGCGCGCAAAGGTTTGTCAGTATGTGTGTTTCTGTGTGTGTGTGTGTGTGTGTGTGTGCTCAGAGGGCAACTGTGGTGCTGTTTAAAATGGGCTTAATCTAAACATCTCGGAGCATAAGAGACTCAATGAAACAAACTGATCCTTTTCAAACCATCTCTTTGCTTCCTATTCTAACGTTTGACCCAGCTGCATGGTCAACCAATCCCATTCCATCTCTTCACCTGAGCCTCTGCAACCAGGCCACTACTAGACGTCCGCAGCCGCAATCAAATTATTTACCAACACTTGAAAAACAAAATGAAATACCCCTGCAACAATTTCATGTCTTGATCAGAATGCTCCCAGAAGAAACTGAAAGCTCTTTTGTCGCCCTCCTTCAAAACCAGATGGGCTTTACTGAATTCCGTCCTGATTTCAAAAGACCCACAGAGCATAATACACATTGCAAAATGCTCTGTTTTTACAAGTAACCTTCCAGCGAACACACAGTGTAGCATAGTAGCGGTTCCCAAACTTTCAACCTAAGCTTGAACCGTAACCCACTGGACAAGTTAGTCCTGACCAACCATTTTAGAAAGCACAGTCTCGCTGGATAAGAACTTCTGCTAAATTAATAAAATGGAAATCTAGGGTGTGTTCGTAAATTCAATCTGGAGTGCAAGAGGGCGCTCAGAGTGTGCTCTAGGCGTTCGTAAATTCAGAGCGTTGTCAGATTGTCCGTTCGTAAATTCAGAGTGTATCACTCTAAGAGTGGCAACAATTTAATAAAGTTTTTTTTTTTTTTGCCAAAGTTTACTGACATCGGCCATATTCAATGGGTGTTGAGCGTTCGTAAATTCATCAGTTACCCTCTGGCACACTCAGACGAGAGCGCTCTGAAATCGTAGTAGATAGCCAGAGCGAATTTACGAACGCACCCCTAAAAATGGAAAGAAGTGGAGGGTGTCCGACCATCTTGAGTCGAGGTGCAACCAAACGATTTGATCATCATTGAAAAGGAAAAGGTGCAGCTCTTGCTCACCATTAAAAAGTTAAGCAGTAATATGTTTTTTAATGGTGAGCGAGCGTTGCGCCTTTTCCTGTTCAAATCTAAAACGTACATATTGCCAGCAGTCTCACCTCTTTGAGGCAGCCCATGAAGTTGTTGCTGACAGGAGACCCAGGCAGGTCGGCAGTGCTGGGGCTTCCACCCACGTAGAAGAAGTCATCTGAGCCCAGCATGGTGTAGTCCTCCTGGGTGTAGCCCGTGGTCGTCAAGATACCGTCAACCGATATCGTCACCTAGACAACGGGAAGAACCAGGAAGGAGAAAGTCCACTCATGACCATCTTGGGGTTGGGTAGGAAGGAGGTACGGGGACTGGGGGTGTTTTTTTCTGTCTGGCTATTTTCTCAGTTGTGTCTTGGTTACACTATAGCGTCATGGCTTCAGGTGTGTGGCCCAGTCCCAAAACCTGGACCATTCCTCACTGGATTATATGATGTACTTCAACTACTAGGTTCAACAAGGTCAGGTAGAGAAAATATGTCAGCTGTATATTTTCTTTAACTTTGAATACAGGTTAGAATATGCAATTTCGGATAGGGGATATAGAATTTGGTTAGGTATGAATGGTTAGTAAGATGCCAACAACACCAAGGACAAATCGGTTGTGCTTGTTTTAGTTTTAGTTGAATTGATAGCTGGTTTGTTGAGACATTGACAAGCATGCAAAATAGGGATGTGCTGCTAATTCCATACGGGAGGAGTATTAAATATCATATCCATATTGCAGTGAGTTACAATCTCAATATCAAATGAGTTGAGTGAATAGGGGGTGCAAACACAAAGCGAGGTGAGAGTTAGATGTTAGGTAGGGTTTCGGGAAAGCAAGGGATGAGGATGGCGTGAGAACGGAGGGAGGGAGAGGGGGAGAGGTTTAGGCATGCCATGTGGCACTGTGTACTGGAAACAACTGTCAGAGCTCCCATTGGTGAACTTTGGGGTTTTCCTTTCCTCTTTTGTTGTAGTTGCAGTTGTGGAAAGCTTCTGGCAGTTTGGTCAACAGTCATCGGCCAAAAGATAGGGAATGCAAAGGAGGCTTTAGTCAAACAGTAATCCCTAAAGAAAGACTAAATCTTTGGAAGACAGGAAGAAGTTGTAGATAGAAAAGCAGAAAAGAGGGAGGAGATAAGCTATTATGAGAAACAGGAAGATGAAATAGAGAGGGAGGGACAGAGGGAGGAAATCAAATAAAAGAAAGCCAAGAAATACCAAACACATTTCCAATTTTTTTGATAATGGTGTCTAGAATGAAGAGTCATAAAAAGGAAGAGGGGGAGGAAGAGGGGGAGGAAGAGGGGAAGGAAGAGAGGGAGGAAGAGGGGGAGGAAGAGGGGAAGGAAGGACCACACAGAAAACCCCAAAGGAAAATAGGAATTATATACACCAGACAATGGAGTTTGTTTACCATAGCGTGTCCAATGCCTGATTGCTTTGAGGAAAATGGGGGAAGAAATTAAAAGAAATAGTGAACCAATAATAAATAAAAAACTAAATAAACAATATGAATAAAGAAGGATGAAGATTTAGGATGGGGAGTTGTTAGTACAATAGCTGGTTAGGCAACGGTCAGTAGGACAATGATTCATTCCATGAGGATGTCGTTTTCTACAAAAGCTTGTTCACAGGGAGAGAAGACAGAGAGAGTGATGGAGAGTGGGGGATACTCTATGGACTATAACTCAATGTGTAAATCCAGAGTATTCCATAGGTAGAGGGATGAACCTTAGTCGTAGTAATATAAAAACGTTTAAAATGAAATGTCAAAGACAACATCCGGCATTAATGTATTAAAACATATATAGTCTAAATTAAAATTGTAACACATTATAATCTAACTACAAATTCCTTACATCTCATAGTTGAAATCCATTGTCCTAGTCTATCTTTGGCCCCCTCATCTACAGCCAGAAACCATCCACTCTCACTGAGGAGGGGAAAGGGAACAGCACCTTGACTATTAGCATATTTTAGAATGGGGATATCTGGACGATTTTACAGCTGAATAGAGATCAGTCTGGAGTAAACAGTGAGTCTTCATGGACAGAAGAAAATCAGATAGGAAATTGGTGTTCTTGGAATTCAGAAAATATGGAGAAAATTAATATGGGAAAGTAAGTAAAAGTAGGTGTGAAATAAACAATGTCTTTAGGAAAAAAGTAAGTCATTGCGGGTAAAATATAGAGAGTCTTAAGAAGAAAACAAAATCAAAAGCGCTGTAGGAATTCTTGTGAACTTTTCCATCTATGAAAGGGACCAACAAACTAACAGGAGAATGTATGACGCTCAATAAAAACTATTTAGGAACTGAACCCATTTAAGACTAAATAAAAAACAAAATATACGGGTCTTTCACCTAATATAATAATAATATGCCATTTAGCAGACGCTTTTATCCAAAGTGACTTACAGTCATGCGTGCATACATTTGTACGTACGGGTGGTCCCGGGGATCGAACCCACTACCCTGGCGTTACAAGCGCCGTGCTCTACCAGCTGAGCTACAGAGGACCACCTGTCCTACAGTATCAGTTATCCTGCATATCCTTATATATATATACGGTATATATATACATACAGTACCCTCCATAGCCACTATTTCCTGTCTCACCCTCCCTAGCCACTATTACCTGTCTGAGGTTGCGCGTGACCTTGACGTCATGCCAGGCGTTGTCATTGAACTTCCCGTTGACAGGCTCCACGATGGCTTCGAAGGCCCCGGAGCCCAGGTTGATGACCAGGGACACGGCTCCGTCCTTCAGAGCCAGGTTGACGTAGTCAGCAGACTTCCCCGTGTGGAGTAAGAGGCCGTTGCGCTGCCACGTCTTGAAGGAGAGCGTGATCTCGTCGCTGGATGACTGGATGGGGTTCTGGGACAGGTCATAGCAGAAGTACTCGGAGCCGTGGAACGTGGCCACGTTCTCCTCCCGCGCTGCAATGGAACAGAGAACAGGTGTTAGAACCCAATGATAAAGATAAACCAAAGAGTAAAAGGAGAGAGGGGGTTAGAACCTGATAGACACAACACAACAGACAACCTAGAGATGTGATTTGTATGAAGACTCTCCAGATACCCAGGACATTTAAAGATGTAGTCAAGACACCACCATAAAATCACCACCAGCACACACTTAGTGAGGCAAAAAGGAAACAGACACCAATAATACTGAGATACGGGATAGACTGAGTTTCAGGGCAGTGTGACAATCAAATGTAACATTTGGAGAGAGGGAGAGTCAGGCACAGCTATCGTCAAACATCATCAGAAGGCTAATCTCGCCGCTGGAATTGGTATTTCCTGTGAAATGGCAGGATTGTGATAAAGGGTTTAAATTCAACGGAAGGGAGGAGAGAAAATGATTGCACGAGAGAGAGAGAGCGAGAGAGAGAGAGAGAGAGAGAGAGAGAGAGAGAGAGAGAGCGAGAGAGAGAGAGAGAGAGAGAGAGAGAGAGAGAGAGAGAGCGAGAGAGCGAGAGAGCGAGAGAGCGAGAGAGCGAGAGAGAGAGAGAGAGAGAGAGCGAGAGAGAGAGAGAGAGAGAGAGAGAGAGAGAGAGAGAGAGAGAGAGAGAGAGAGAGAGAGAGAGAGAGAGAGAGAGAAAAGAAGCATCAAGGAGATGAACATTGCTGAGCATATTTGGACCTTGGTGACAGAGAGAAAGACAGAGAAAGATTGAGACAAAAGAGAAGAGAGGAGACAGAGAGAGAGGAGAGTGAAATATGGAGACAAAGACAGAAGACAGAGAGGGAATGAGCCAAAAGAAGAGAGAGTAAATGGCTAGTGAGAAAGAAAGAGAGTGAGGAGGGAGGGAGGGATGGAGGGAGGGAGGGGGGGAGGGGGGGAGGGGGGAGGGAGGGGATAAAGAGTGCCGTCTGGAGCACTTATCTGTGAGATCATCTTCAATCAGCTCTCTGTCTGCAAAGTGGAGTGATGTTAGGGAGTGTGTGAGTTTAGCCATGGCCAGGCGGAATATATCAGAGCCAGCCAGCCAGCGCTAGCCACTCCGCTCCCTCTCTGGCTCAGGGCTACAACATGTTCTCTGCATACTCAATAAGGCCCCGGTCGACACAAAATGGCTTCCGTCTTTGATCCTCTGAATACAGCGGCTACAGACTCTTCAGGCCTCAGTTTCTCAAAAGGAATCCATTCCACAGTGAACATGGAACTTGGCTAGAATTTGTGCCTCAGGCCCAGGTCCACTGCTGATAGGACAGACCCCGCAGAAGCAAATTTGACCCATAGAATTACATACAGGACCTCTATGATTTGACCTCACAATAGGTACACTGTCAGGTGGAGCCTGGGTGAATCTTTTGAGACAATTCCACCAGTTCTATTGTACTGGAAAAACTAAGTTCAAGTGCAGCTCAAGTATTTGGAAGTATTATATAGGATTATTTGATGAAAGCAAAGTTTGAAGGACACAATTATTATTTCTATTAAAAATCATTATTTCTAACCTTGTCAATTACTACATTTCTTATGCATTTTGCTATATTTCCTATTGAAACTCATTTCATGTATGTTTTCATCGATGAAAACATACATGAAATGAGTTTCAATAGGAAATATAGCAAAATGCATAAGAAATGTAGTAATTGACAAGGTTAGAAATAATGATTTTTAATAGAAATAATAATTGTGTCCTTCAAACTTTGCTTTCATCAAATAATCCTCAATTTGCTGCAATTACAGCCTTGCAGACCTTTGGCATTCTAGTTGTCAATTTGTTGAGGTAATCTGAAGAGATTTCACCCCTTGCTTCCTGAAGCACCTCCCACAAGTTGGATTGGCTTGATGGGAACTTCTTACGTACCATACGGTCAAGCTGCTCCCGCAACAGCTCAATAGGGTTGAGATCCGGTGACTGTGCTGGTCACTCCATTATAGACAGAATACCAGCTGACTGCTTCTTCCCTAAATAGTTCTTGCATAGTTTGGAGCTGTGCTTTGGGTCATTGTCCTGTTTTAGGAGGAAATTGGCTCCAATCAAGCGCCGTCCACAGGGTATGGCATGGCGTTGCAAAATGGAGTGGTAGTCTTCCTTCTTCAAGATCCCTTTTACCCTGTACAAATCTCCCACTTTACCACCACCAAAGCACCCCCAGACCATCAAATTGCCTACACCATGCTTGACAGATGGCATCAAGCTTCTTTTCATTTGGTCTGCATTTCACAAATGTTATTCTTTGTGATCCGAACATCTCAAACTTAGATTCGTCTGTCCATAACACTTTTTTCCAATCTTCCTCTGTCCAGTGTCTGTGTTCTTTTGCCCATCTTAATCTTTTATTTTTATTGGCCAGTCTGAGAAATTGCTTTTTCTTTGCAACTCTGCCTAGAAGGTCAGCATCCCGGAGTCTCCTCTTCACTGTTGACGTTGAGACTGGTGTTTTGCGGGTACTATTTAATGAAGCTGCCAGTTGAGGACCTGTGAGGCGTCTGTTTCTCAAACTAAACACTCTAATGTATATGTCCTCTTGCTCAGTTGTGCACCGGGGCCTCCCACTCCTCTTTCTATTCTGGTTAGAGCCAGTTTGCGCTGTTCTGTGAAGGGAGTAGTACACAGCGTTGTACAAGATATTCAGTTTCTTGGCAATTTCTCGCATGGAATAGCCTTCATTTCTCAGAACAAGAATAGACTGACAGGTTTCAGAAGAAAGTTCTTTGTTTCTGGCCATTTTTAGCCTGTAATCGAACCCACAATTGCTGATGCTCCAGATACTCAACTAGTCTCAAGAAGGCCAGTTGTATTGCTTCTTTAATCAGCACAACAGTTTTCAGCTGTGCTAACATAATTGCAAAAGGGTTTTCTAATGATCAATTTGCCTTTTAAAATGATAAACTTGGATTAGCAAACACAACGTGCAATTGGAACACAGGACTGATGGTTGTTGATAATGAGCCTCTGTCCTCTTATGTAGATATTCCATTAAAGATCAGCCGTTTCCAGGTACAATAGCCATTTACAACATTAACAATGTCTACAATGTATTTCTGATCAATGTGATGTTATTTTAATGGACAAAAAAAAAGTTTTTGTTTCGAAAACAAGGAAATATCTAAGTGACGCCAAACTTTTGAATGGTAGTGTATATATAATACTTAATGCGTTTGAGCCAATAATTTGTTTTGACAAGTTAGGGGGGTTATACACAAGGTAGCCCTATTTGGTAAAATACCAAATGTGGTATTGTGGAGGCCAGGTCATCTTATGCAGCACTCCATGACTCTCCTTCTTGGTAAAATAGCCCTTACACAGCCTGGAGGTGTGTTGGGTCATTGTCCTGTTGAAAATCAAATGATAGTCCCACTAAGCCCAAACCAGATGGGATGGCGTCTCGCTGCAGAACGTGGTGGTAGCCATGCTGGTTAAGTGTGCCTTGAATTCTAAATAAATCACAGACAGTGTCACCAGCAAAGCACCCCCAAACCATAACACCTCCTCCTCCATGTTTTATGGTGGGATCATCCGTTCACCCACACCACGTCTCACAAAGACATGGCGGTTGGAACCAAAATTCTCAAATTTGGACTCCAGACCAAAGTACACATTTCCACCGGTCTAATGTCCATTGCTCATGTTTCTTGGGCCAAGCAGGTCTCTTCTTATTATTGGTGTCCTTTAGTAGTGGTTTCTTTGCAGCAATTCGACCATGAAAGCCTGATTCACACAGTCCCCTCTGAACAGTTGAAGTTGAGATGTGTCTGTGACTTGAACTATGTGATGCATTTATTTGGGCTGCAATTTCTGAGGCTGGTAACTCTAATGAACTTATCCTCTGCAGCAGAGATAACTCTGGGTCTTCCATTCCTGTGGCGGTCCTCATGAGAACCAGTTTCATCATAGCACATCATAGCAGGTTTTTGCGACTGCACTTGAAGAAACGTTCAAAGTTCTTGAAATGTTCCGTATTGACTTACCTTCATGTCTTAAAGTAATGATAGACTGTTGTTTCTCTTTGCTTTTTTGAGCTGTTCTTGCCATAATATGGACTTGGTCTTTTACCAAATAGGGCTATCTGCTGTATACCCCCCCCCCCCCCCCCCCCCCCCCACACACACACACACACACAAATTAACTTTTAAGAAGGCACACCTGTTAATTGAAATGCATTCCAGGTGACTACCTCATGAAGCTGGTTGAGAGAATGCCAAGAGTGTGCAAAGCTGTCATCAAGCCAAAGGATGGCTATTTGAAGAATATATATATATTTTGATTTGTTTAACACTTTTTTGGTTACTACGTGATTCATATGTGTTATTTCATAGTTTTGATGTCTTCACTATTATTCTACAATGTAGAAAATTGTAAAAAATAAAGAAAAACCCTTGAATGAGTAGGTGTGTCCAAACTTTTGACTGGTACAGTATATGTATACTGTATTTTGGATGCTCTAACCATATGGCCTTCGGTGATATGTTAAGCAAAGATGTTGACAGAGAAAACCACTGCATCAAGTGTTAGCATTACTCCAGCAGTTAAACAGCAGCAAACTATTCCAGTACTTATATGAACTCACAGAGCAAATAGACCATTGTGTTAGACAAGGCAGTTTGGCACACAGCCTTGGCACCAAACAATAAACAACATGCAATATTAAATGCACGCTCCTCTAGGCTACATCCATTATCTTGTGATGGAGAAACAGCATGCTGGAGTATGGAGGAAAAAGCCTACGTGACTTGACAGTTTTCACTTGCATTTAGACAAATAGACTCCCATGTAGAAACATAAGTTAGTACCAGTTTGCTGAATGCTGTTATATCAATGGTCCACCTAACTTAGCCAATCACAAGCTGCTTATCCAAACAGACACAACCAATGATGCAGAAACAAAAACTCCCACTCTCCCCCCTACCCTGCCAGACATCTTATCTCTGGGTCGGCAGGGCAACCTGACATCACAAACACCGCTGCACCTCCTAATAACACCTCCCCTCATAGGCTCCTGTGATCAATTATTAATTAAGGCAAGTTTTGTTTTAACTAAAGACCCGGACAGGCCAGCGAGTCGCACCAGATGTTAGAGCTAATCCATTACCTCCACACTCCTCAATACTTAATGAGCAGAGCAGAGCAGAGGCACCCATCCTGAGCTAAGAGACTGTCTTCACTACTGAGTGGGAGGGAAGGTACAGGAAGAGAGGGGAGACAGCTTGGGGAATACCCACAGAGGGAGATACAGTCTGGGGTTACATAGAGGGAGAGAGGTGAGATACAGTCTGGGGTTATGTAGAGGGATAGAGGTGAGATACGGTCTGGGGTTATGTAGAGGGAGAGAGGTGAGATACAGTCGGGGGTTATGTAGAGGGAGAGAGGTGAGATACAGTCTGGGGTTATGTAGAGGGAGAGAGGTGAGATACAGTCTGGGGTTATGTAGAGGGAGAGAGGTGAGATACAGTCTGGGGTTATGTAGAGGGAGAGAGGTGAGATACAGTCTGGGGTTATGTAGAGGGAGAGAGGTGAGATACAGTCTGGGGTTATGTAGAGGGAGAGAGGTAAGATACAGTCGGGGGTTATGTAGAGGGAGAGAGGTGAGATACAGTCTGGGGTTATGTAGAGGGAGGGAGGTGAGATACAGTTTGGGGTTATGTAGAGGGAGAGAGGTGAGATACAGTCTGGGGTTGTGTAGAGGGAGGGAGGTGAGATACAGTCTGGGGTTATGTAGAGGGAGAGAGGTGTGTTGTAGTGCAAACTTGAGATGCTAGGGTGGGCAAAAACCTTGCAGCATACATTACTACTAGGGTACACTCTTTGTTTTGGTGGTAGAAAGGGAGATGGGGAATGAATACAAGCTTGTTTTAACGAGAGACAATACATGAGAGGCCATACATGAGAGGTCATACACGAGAGTCCATAGATGAGAGCCATACATAAGAGGCCATACATGAGGCCATACATGAGAGGCCATACAGGAGAGACCATACATGAGAGACAATACATGAGAGGCCATACATAAGAGGCCATACATGAGGCCATACATGAGAGGCCATACAGGAGAGACCATACATGAGAGACAATACATGAGAGACCATACATGAGGCCATACATGAGATGCCATACATGAGAGACAATACATGAGAGACAATACATGAGAGCCATGCATGAGAGACCATACATGTGATGGAGAGGACAACCCACTACTGCCCAGATGACATCCTCTCAGTTCAAATAAAGTTAGTTCAACTTTGAGTTTCCGCTCCTCTCAGATTCAGAGATTCAGAGTGTTTAATAGTCACATGTAGAGGGTTGCAGGTGTGATTTCAGGGTACAGTGAAAATCTTATCCTCCGAGCTCCAACATGCAGGACTAAGTGAAATAAAAGAATGAAAATGGTACATATACTGTACACATCCTCTCCCTCAGGCTCAGTGATTTGCATTGAACCCTCCCTCAGTGGGGTGAGGTGAACTCAAACACCCCCACCAGGCTCCCCACCACCTCATCCCACCACCTCATCCCACCACCTCATCCCACCTCCTCGTCCAACCACCTCGTCCAACCACCTCGTCCCACTACCTCATCCCACCACCTCGTCCAACCACCTCGTCCCACCACCTCATCCCACCACCTCATCTCACCACCTCATCCCACCACTTCATCCCACCTCCTCGTGCAACCACCTCGTCCCACCACCTCATCCCACCACCTCATCGCACCACCTCATCCCACCACCTCATCCCACCTCCTCGTTCAACCACCTCATCCCACCACTTCATCCCACCACCTCATCCCACCACCTCGTCCAACCACCTCGTCCCACCAACTCGTCCAACCACCTCATCCCACCACCTCATCCCACCACCTCATCCCACCACCTCATCCCACCACCTCATCCCACCACCTCATCCCACCACCTCATCCAACCACCTCGTCCCACCACCTCGTCCCACCACCTCATCCCACCACCTCATCCCACCTTCACCTATCCAAACTATATTTGGACCAATATTGTCAATTGGGCGTTTCAGTTGACACCAAATGCACAGTATGTAAAGTTAGTGAGATAGGGGGGCCTTTAACAAAAACATTCTGAGATAGCGCAAGGTCAGCAGGCTATACAGGAAGGACGACTCCTGTTAGAGTACAACACACCAACCACAAAATGTACCAAAGAGACAGAGATCTGCTAGAGGTCCCTTGGCTTTTATAGCTATAGCAATTGTGCTGAAACATGGAATCTTAATACATAGGCCTAGAATATCTTTATGAGTTCAATCTGGATGGAGTGGAGGAACTGTTATGGTGCAGTAATGATTTTAACGGTATCCATAAGCCATTCCTTGATAACTCTACGGGTGATGAACGAGACTGGATTAGCCCTGGCAGGAGTTATCCGTAAAAGTGTCATAGGAGAAGAAATGCCAGAAACGAGTTATGGGTCCACTAAATCTTGTCCATTTTGGGGGCAAAGAACTTAACTATATTGCCACCCGGGTGGCAATTCTTCTCAAAACGTCTCCTTTTCAAAATGTCTCCTTTTGAAAAAGAGGCTATATACATTTGAACAGTCTCAACTTTATTGAAACAATATGTAATCAAAGTGTTTCAATCTCCGGTATCACTTCATCTGTTTTTGCTTTAACTTAACTCTTCATTGATTTAAGTTATTGATTGGAAAGTTCTCTGGAATGGATTCCCAAGTCTAAATTAGCTGATGGAACAATGAAGCTTAACACCAGACAGTCTACACCCTCAAGCACTGGATTTCTACTGCTCTGGATTAAAGAAACAAAGAATCTTTTAAAACCCCAGGCGTGTGTCAAGTGGGTTCTATTGACGGACTAAATAGTGGTCTAGTGGGTTCTACTGACAGACTAAATTGGGTTCTAGTGGGTTCTACTGACAGACTAAATTGGGTTCTAGTGGGTTCTACTGACAGACTAAATTGGGTTCTAATGAGTTCTACTGACAGACTAAATTGGGTTCTAGTGAGGTCTACTGACAGACTAAATTGGGTTCTAGTGAGGTCTACTGACAGACTAAATTGGGTTCTAGTGAGGTCTACTGACAGACTAAATGGTGTTCTAGTGAGGTCTACTGACAGACTAAATGGTGTTCTAGTGGGTTCTATTCTGACAGACTAAATTGGATTTTAGTGGGTTCTACTGACAGACTAAATTGGGTTATAGTGGGTTCTATTGACAGACTAAATGGTGTTCTAGTAGGTCTACTGACAGACTAAATGGGGTTCTAGTGGGTTCTACTGACAGACTAAATTGGGTTCTAGTGGGTTCTACTGACAGACTAAATTGGGTTCTAATGAGTTCTACTGACAGACTAAATGGTGTTCGAGTGGGTTCTACTGACAGACTATATTGGGTTCTAATGGGTTCTACTGACAGACTAAATGGTGATGTAGTGGGTTCTACTGACAGACTAAATTGGGTTCTAGTGAGGTCTACTGACAGACTAAATTGGGTTCTAGTGAGGTCTACTGACAGACTAAATTGGGTTCTAGTGGGGTTTACTGACAGACTAAATTGGGTTCTAGTGGGGTCTATTCTGACAAACTAAATTTGGTTCTAGGGAGGTCTACTGAAAGACTAAATAGTTCTAGTGAGGTCTACTAAATCACCCTCTCTCCCTGGGCTTGAGTTATCTTCCAGTAAGATATGATAAGATAGATACAGGAGAGTACCAAGACTTATACTCTAAACTCTGATTCATAGTTACTGCCTTAGTCAAAGACTTATACTCTAAACTCTGATTCATAGTTACTGCTCTAGCTAAATATGTATACTCTAAACTCGGACTCATAGTTATTGCTCTAGCCAAAGAGTTATACTCTAAACTCTGATTCATAGTTACTGCTCTAGCAAAATAGTTATATTCTTGAATACAGAAATATGTCATTAACATAAGTATTCACACCCCTGAGTCAATACTTTGTAGAAGCACCTTTGGCCATGATTACAGCTGTGAGTCTTTATGGGTAAGTCTCTAAGTGCTGTCCACTCCTGGATTGTACAACATTTGCCCATTATTATTTTCAGAATAGACAACCATTTTCAGGTCTTGCCATATATTTTCAAGTAGATTTAAGTCCAAACTGCCATACAGAAACATTCACTGTTTTCTTGGTAAGGACCAGAAGAGGCCTTAACGTGTGTGTGTGTGTACTGTCCATCCACAGCCCACCCGTTCTAAAAGCATTTTACTGTTCAGTGTGAGTATTTTAATTTAGGGAAGGTGAGGGACGGTGAGGGAAGGTGAAGGCGGTAAATCAGAGGATAGCTTAAAAGTGCCGCTCCGATGATAATGACTAGTAGTGTGTGTGTGTGTGTGTGTGTGTGTGTGTGTGTGTGTGTGTGTGTGTGTGTGTGTGTGTGTGTGTGTGTGAGTGTGTGTGTGTGTGTGTGTGTGTGTGTGTGTGTGAGTGAGTGAGTGAATGTGTGTGTGTGTGTGTGTGTGTTTGAGTGTGTGTGTGCTCAAGTTTCAAGTACGAATGACACATGCACAAGTACAGTGAAATGCCTTTCTTGCCAAGCTCTAACCTCAACAATGCAGTGATCAATAACAATGTAATACTGAAATAACAAGGCAGAACAAAAACACACGAGATATAAAAATATGAAGAACACTTTAAAGTAAGTAAGCACACTATATACAGGGTCAGATCAATACCATATTTACAATGTGCAGGGATACTGGAGTGATAGAGGCAGATATACACTACCGTTCAAAAGTTTGGGGTCACTTAGAAATGTCCTTGTTTTCGAACGAAAAGCACTTTTTTTTGTCCATTAAAATAACATCAAATTGATCAGAAATACAGTGTAGACATTGTTAATGTTGTAAATGGCTATTGTAGCTGGAAACTGCAGATTTGTTATGGAATATCTACATAGGCGTACACAGAGGCCCATTATCAGCAACCATCAGTCCTGTGTTCCAATGGCACGTTGTGTTTGCTAATCCAAGTTTATCATTTTAAAAGGGTAGTACCGCTTGATAACAGCTAATGGACAATGCCGTGGTGATGGCAATTGAAACTGGACTAATCTAATGTCACTGAAAATGTAACTGTGTATTTGTTTGTTTGTCACGGTTTCGGCCGAGGCTGCTCCTCTTCCTTGTTCGGGCAGGC